TTGTCCTTTCGCATATCTGTGCATTTTAAACCTTTTTTTTTCAGAACGAATTGACTCCTACTAACGATGCTAATATACATTGTAAAACGATCAAAAAGATAATATCAGCACTTTTCCCCATCACCCAGTACATTGTTATTTTGTATTAATATATTTTTAATCAATAAAGTACCCTTTACATGGAACAAATCTACCATTATATTACACGTGTGAAATAAACATATTCGAAAAGGTTTTATAACAAAAAAATATAACTTATCATCCGTCATAGATTAATCAATTCATTTAAATCCTGTGTAAATGGTTGCTTATAAATGACATCTTTATCCTAATAATATAAAATTATAGTTTTGAAATTTGCGTAAGAAAAACGAAATTGTGTATATATGTATACGCTTAAATAAAATGCTTGTGTATAGTCTTTTTGAAAGTTGTGATAACTATTTCATGACACTGTTTAAACAGGATTTTAAACTTTTTTTTTCAGATACATACATGCCGAAGAAGATTGTAATATCTGGAAAAAACATTTCCTACGTCACAAAATATGTATACATATTGAATATATGTTTATGAAATAATAAATATTTAAGAGTGTCGCGATTTGGTTTTTACTTTATTATTTGCAATACTCCAATTGTGAAGATAAAGTTCTTAAGCATATGACTTTACAGTTCCCATTCACAATGTGTAATCAAACATATTCTATTGTTTAAGCTGCATTTGGGTCATGTATACGTGTAAATCATTTAATGCATTCTTTTGATATTATATGTACCTTCGTTTATCTCGAAAATACAGTTCTGTATACCATATGTACAACTCAAAAATGCAATTTCGTATATCCCCTGTATATATTTTGATCTACGATTCCGTATATCTTCTGTATATGTAGAAAAAACGATTCCGTATATCTTCTGTATATGTAGAAAATACAATTCAGTATATCATCTTTATATGTGGAAAATACGATTCCGTACATCCTCTGTATATGTAGAATATACGGTTCTGTATATTCTCTGTATACGTAGGAAATACGAGTCCGTACATCCTCTGTATATGTAGAAAATACTGTTCCGTATATCCTTGGTATATTTATAGTATACTAGGGATAACAACCTTGTAAAGTCCGTATACGGGATTTTATTCTCCGTATACTTCAGAAGTACGAACAAATATACGTACATGTATATGGGGCAAATACGGAATTCCGTATATGCCGATGCATATACGGACTTCCCGTATACCTGGTGTTCCCTTTACGGACTCGTATACTTGGTCCGTTTATTCGACAAATACACGCCAATATATGTCAAAAATACGGGACCGTACATTCCCGTATATCAGTATATTTTTCGCAGTGAAAACAGTCCCTCATTGTGGTAATTTTAAGGGATATTTTGAATAAGGCTTTTTAAATAGGGAAATGATTAAGTAGGAATTTTAAGCGTGTTGGGTAGGGTAACATTTTTATACATAATTAGAAACATTTTGTGTAGAAACAATTATTGTGCAGGTTTTCTTTGTGATCTGAATGTTATCATTTGTTTCTATACAATGATCAATTTGAAAATATTTTTCATAATCACGATATCATAGATTTTTTGGAAATGTCCTTATTTCTGAAAAGGAGCCCTTCTAACAAGGATGTTTTAGTTCTGAGAAAGAAGTCCATAACTCATTAACAATTTGGTAAATTATGTTTAAATTTTGCATACAGGTGTCATTAAAGGCATATTACTGTCCTATATTGTCAGTTTTACATTTAATTATGGTGCCCGTAAGGGGAGTCCTACCTTTATGAGTAGTAGAAAGTCATCACCGTTCGCATTTGTGTAGATACTTTTAAACGGTCCTTTGGTTTGTTCATGGTCAAGAATTATACCAGCAGACCTCTGACACTCTTTAGTTGAATTTGTATCTGCAAGAAACTGTATTATTATTTGTATTAGGAAATGATGAAAAGTGATGGTTTCCTGGAAAGCATTGAATATTCAAAACCTAATTTGATTAATAATAATAATCAATGACAAGAAAGAATCACCTTTAGCAGTAATCTCGTGAGTTATTACACTGCAGTCTGACTGTTATCATGATACTCGCTTCGTCAATCCAATCACCTATATCTTAAAATATGATTAAAACATAAATTAATGCCATAATGAATAGATGTTATTGTTCTGTTTTTTAACCCGATGATTTTAAATTTGACAGAACAGTACATGCACATCCTTTTCAATACAACAAAGACACCTAACAGCATTGGTACCTTTTAAAGTTTAAATTCTTCAAGGTTCCAAAGTCAATGCGCTGTTTTAAATCTCTTCAAACTTTAATAATGGCAGCCTCAATGACACCGACGATTGATCTGATTATGCTACTGGTAACTAATACTCATACAAAAGTATTGACAACAGTTATTGTTTAATTTGCCAGATTTTTGATGCAACAAAACCTTGCAATGTCTAGAGTTTAGTGGTATATATATATATTTTGTTAAAATGGCTTATTAATATCTTAATACTGCAAGTCCAAATAACATTGTCCTTTTAATTTGCAAGAAGGATAAATCAACGACTCCAATTTATCTTCAAAATGTAGGGCTAAATTGAGATCGAATTAAAAATGTTCTTGGTTACAGCACCTTTCTTACATGCAGTCGGCTTTCGTTTTGTGTTTCAATCAAACATTTGTTCAATTTAGGAGAAATAGATCAAGGTGAAATAAATAAATAAAACATTAGAATAGCAAAGCTATGAAAGAAAATGATACGTAAGAGAATTATTTCAAGCATCAGTGTTTTTTATTTAAACTTCGCTTCAATTGATCAGATATTTTACGACGTTCTTTATGTTTGAATTTAACTGTGTCTTATTGTGGTTATGTTGTATAGTATGTTTACCAAGATAAAGGTAATTTTAGTTTTGAAGTAGTATTTTTAACGTGTAATTGAAATGCAAAAGAAATTGATTTCATGATTTCGATATAACTCAGTTTATGTACACTTTCTGTTGGCTGCATGTTTATGCCCTGAAAAAGTTCCACCGAATTTGCTTTAACCGAGTTTCACTTTGTTTTTAAACTCACTACTTCGTTTCAATAAGTATCCATTAGGCTATAATCACTGGTAACTGGATTGAAACTAAGGGGCGTTGGTTTAAACCCCAGAAGAGGTATTTCCTATTTTTCTTTTTTTATATTATTTCTGTATCTGCTATAACACCTACCGAAAAGATTTTGATCTTTGCAATATAATTATTGTACTCTCATATTTGTTTCCTAAATTATGCAAAATTTAATACCTTATACGGTACCAGATATTTTCAAAGTCTAATTAAATGACAACTTAACGCTAAAGGTATTCGATATTTTGCAAGATTAACCAATATACTTTTACGAACTTTTGGCCAACTTTAAAACAGTCCCTCATTATGGAAAATTTAAGGTATATTTTGAATAGGGAAATGATTAAGTAAGAGTTTTAAGTGTGTTGGGTAGGATACTATTTTTATACATAATTAATAGCATTTTGTGTAGAAACAATTATTTTGCTGGTTTCCTTTGTTATCTGAATGTTATTATTTGTTTCGTTTTCTATACAATGATAAATCAGAAAGTATTTTTCATAATCACGTTATCATATTTTATTTTGGAAATTTCCTCATTTCTGAAAAGGAGCCCTTCAAACAAGAATGTTTTAGTTCTGAGAAAGAAGTCCATAACTCATTAACAATTTGGTAAATTGTGTTTAAATTTTGCATACAGTTTTCATTAAAGGCATATTAATGTCCTATATTGTCAGTTTTACAGTTCATTATGGTGCCCGTTAGGGGTATCTTCATGACAAGTCGAAAGTCATCACCGTTCGCATTGGTGTAGATACTTTTAAACGGTCCTTTGGTTTTTTCTTACTCAAGTAATATACCAACCAACTTTTGACAATCTTTAGTTGAATTCGTATCTGCAATAAACTGTTTAAAAGTTCGTATTGAAAAATGATAAAAAGTGGCTGGTGTCTTGGCAAGCATTGAATTTTCCAAACATAATTTGATAAATAATTATAATCAATGACAAGAAGGAATAACTTTAAACAGTAATCTCGTGAGTATAATCATTACAGTGTGACTTTCACCATAAGACTAGTTTTGTACTTATACTTTTGCACTTATATTTTTAAATATGTTTTAATCATAAATTAATGTCATTATGAATATAATTATGTTAATGTTTCTTAATTCAATAAATGATAAATATGACTGAACAGTATATGCACATCCTTTCAATACAACAAAGACACGTCATATTGAAGTTAAAAATCTACAAAGTTCTAAAGTCAATGCGCTGTTTTAAATATCTTCAAACTTTAATTATGGCAGTCCCAATGACCTCGACCTTTGATCTGATAATGCTAGTGGTAGTAAAAACTCATAAAAATGTATTGACAACGGTTTTTGTTTAATTTATCAGACTTTTTTGCAACAAAACCTTGCAATGTCTAAAGTTTAAAAGTCTAAACACTTTGTTGAAATGGCAAGTTAAATATCTTAAAACTGCAAGTCCCAATAACATTGTCCTTTGATTTGCGTGTAAGTCAAATCAACGACTAAAAGTTATCTTCAAAATGTGTGGCTTTATTGAGATCGATTTATAATTTGTCCTTGGTTACTGCACCTTTCCCATATGTAATCGGCTTACATTTGATCTTCAATCAAACATTTGTTCAATTTAGGAGTAATTGTCAACGAACAAATAAATAAATAAAACATTAGAATAGCAAAGTTATAAATGAAAATTATAGACAAAAGATTTATTTTAAGTATCAATACTCTTTTATTTAAAGCTCGCTTCAATTGATCAGATTTGACGACGTTCTTCATGTCTGAGTCTAACTGTTTCTTTTTGATGTTATTTTGTATACTAGTCTGTTTGACTTGATACAGGTATTACTAATTATAGACTTAATGTAGAAATTTCAAATTGTAATTGAAATGCGCCAGAAATTGATTTTGTGATTTCGATATTAATAATTCAGTTAATAAAATAAAGTAAAAATAAAGAAAACAGAAATAAAAAAAAGTTTACTAAGAAAATTCAATAAATTAAGAGTAGGTAAATGCTTTCGGAAGAAGAAATGGTTCATAATCTTGATAAAAGAGTGATCCCTCAGAAGCAGTTTACATTCTGTCTTTCAAGATATTGACAAGCTTTTAGATTCCGCCTTATGATTCTTTTCCGTAATTATTAGACACTGTTATACAGAATAGTATGCATTGAAACATATTTTTTATTAAATTAAAATTAAGTTACTGATTCTAACGTATATTTTTGCTCATCTAAGATTGGCACTTATAACATATCTACGATGAACAATTATATAAAATGTTTTTATTTTTCTGTTTTTTTTAGTATTATGTCATTAATACCTTGGAGAATATCTTTTCTAATATATCAGTTTTTTATGAAATTCACATATGCCGTTCGTTCCACATCTGTTTCTAAATAATAGACCCTTTTCTCTGAATCATCAAGTATATGAGCAACCTGAAATAATAAAAATGATAAGACTTTTTTGTTAACAATTCAACGATTTATCTATTCACAACATAATAAAAGCATATATCTTGTTTTTATGACAACTAGAGAAGTGTTCAGTTCCGCTAATTACAATTCTTAGGAAAAATTGCGCGAAATACTTTTAATTTAAAGCATATTATATAATAGTGTTATACTTATTTATAGTATTACCTTCATGTCTTTTTTTACACGCTACTTCGTCGGTAATTAGTTTGTCATTTCCTAGAACGAAATACAAACTGTTAAGATTTATATACATTATATTATTTAACTTCAGAAACTGAAAACTTCGAATGACATAGAAGTATGTCATTAAAGCAAGATTGTTAACTATCAAAATTGAAATAAAAAATAAAATAAAACAGTCTTTTTGTTTAGAAATTGAGATATGTTTAATCCGCTGCTGGGGTACGGCCTAGTGGAGCTTGTAAAATAGTCTTAAAAAGGTTAAATCAAACCGAGTTTTAAGCGTTAACAACACAATTTAACTTTTACTGTATTGATGGACCTTAAACGTTTTAATGTGTGTGTGTTTGCGTGTGCGTGTGTGCGTGTGCGTGTGTGTGTGTGTGTGTGTGTGCTTTCTTTGTTCTTTATAGTAAGATTGGTATGTGTCGCATCATTATGTATTGTGCCATGAAATAAATGTAAGGGGTATTAAATACATTTAATAATTATATATACATGTATTATTCATTTCATCATTTGTTTGTGATTTTTATTGATCGTTTTCCCCTTATTTTCTTTCCTACGCAACTTCAGCATCCCTAAAGAAAAAGTGTTTATTATTATAAATATTCTTACGATATGTTGCCTGTTTTTGTTGTTGTTGGTTTTGTGTTTCTTTTAAATTTAGGTAGGTGCATGTTATATGCAGGTTTCCTCACTACTAATTACCTATAAGAATCTATGTTCTAGCTCCTCTCAAGGAAAAAACTTTAATACACGGGACTTTACGGAATGACACGATGGTGTCACGTTTAAAAAGATTGATCACCTTTGCCTATATCTTAAACACTGAATTAAAACCTGTTTTCATATTTAAAAGTCCTGCCTTTCAAATATCTGTGGAAATGGGAGTTACCTCGAAATAAAATGAGAACTATCAAAGTTGGGAATTACAGATACGGTGTGATTGAATCTTTTCACGTGGAATTATACACATTAATACACAATGTACATTACAGCTTCTCACATACCCTCTGACACCGGCTTAAGTCTGAAGGCAAGAGGTATGGTGAAATGTTCATCTCTGACGTCCATGGACATGTACAGTCGAATCCAGGCTACACAATAATAATTTGTTTAGCATGTTGAAAGGTCTACAAGACTTCCATTTTCCATAATCGACTAATTGATAAGAAAATGTAGAGCTATCCTAGTAACGCGAGCGTCGGCATCGGCAACAGCGTCGTTTTGATATAATTATGCCCCTTTTGCCTTTGAATTTACGTTAAAGTTTGCGTACCACCTCAAATATTTTCAATGTTCATTTACATATGGCTTTGAAACTTTGCACACTTGACGTTGTAAACCATCATGACTCTAATCTGAAGACAGGAGGATGTACCTCTGTGAAGTATTTTGACCGGAATATGCCCCCTTTTCGACTGAGAATTTATAATAAAATGTGTGTACTGCCTCAAAGGTTTTTAAAATTAATTTACATATGGCTTTGAAACTTTATACTTATAACCATCGTGCCCTCAACCTCTAGACAGGAAGTGGTAACTCTATCAAGGATTTTGATAGAATTAAACAACAGCCCTTGTTTAAATACGTTATTTTAAAAGGAAACTAAAATTAAATTCTAAGTTATTCAAAACATAAACAAGAAATATTCATGTATATGTACTGATTTTATAACATGGATACTTCTGTAATAGTGTTTCTTCTCATTCTGAAGCATATATTTTTTATCGTCGTACAACAATAAATGGCTAGAATATATAGTGAAGCAAGTAAACAAAATTCCCGTAAACTCATATGTGATACGATTTAACCAGCAAATTGTTTCTATATTGGAAGATAGACTAAATAAAACTAAAATATTTGTAACATGTGTCAACAATCAACAAAATTGCAAAACGGCAAAATTGAAAACGTTGCCGGCTCAGTATGATTAGGCATGTTCATGAACGTTAGTGGTATTTGCAGCATCACAATTTCAAACATTTTTTAAGTAGATTGGTAGAAAATTTTATAAAAATGCAAAATTATGATAATATATTTCTATGAAAAAAATATTGATAAAATTTGTAGTGTTTTAGTATGAACATATTCTATTGATAATATTTTTTATTCAGGTATCAACAGACATCTTTACTATAAATATGCAAACTTAAGTTAAGTATAACGACAATGACATGAACACAGTGCACCGTTTCCTTAAACATTGTTGTCATTAGAATAAAATCAGTAACCGCGCACACAAATAACTCGCAACAACGACAAACATGAACTAAGGATTTTTTGTACTGTATAATTTTTCGACTTTTCACCAAAATTGTTATTTCTTGTTTGTGTGTGCCGCAAAGGCCCTAACGGGATGGCAAAGAAAGGAGTTTATGTACGAGTTAGATGTCTCCAAATCAAGTGTAAGTACTCGTGTTTGGGAAGGAATTACAAAACATTTGTTGCATCAAGTTCAATAAAATAAAAGATTTGAAAGGAGTACTAATGTGAAACAAAAAGTGCAATGACGTGAAAAAGGTAATAAGAGGGAAATAGAGGAACTAAGGCTACGAAGTGCAAAAAGGGGTATTACGCAAATAAACACGTTATAACGCAAATAACAGCGTTTTAATGCTGACGTCATTATATTTATTTATTAAAAAAAAGTATTAAAGGGCCGTTATCGCAAGATCTTTGTTGTTTTGCTATTTTGGCCGCCTTGCTTCAAGGCATTTTTTTTACATTAGTGGGCAACTGAAAGAGCGATATCAACCCTCAGTGACTTTCAAGATGGATACACGGAGGTTTCTTGCAAGTTTGTTAAACTGAATGACAAACATGTGTTTTCATTGACAATAGTTCGCTTCACCAGACTAGAACCATGTAGCAACTATGTTTAAAAGCCGAATTTCTGGCATAGGTATTAAAGACGTAAGTACTTGATTGCCCTACGCCATAATGCGATTTCTAAATGCCGTATATCCGGATTTGATATTTAAGACGTTAAAACTTGTTTTTTGCTTGCAATTATTGCTTGCAATTATGCGACATTATGCGATTATGATAAAATTTAATATATATAAATATTTACAGTACATATTTTACGTTTTCTACGATGTTTGAAAATTGTTAAATTAGCATAATTATATACATATTTCACGCAAGAATGGAATTACCGCAATTACTAAACATACAGTATCTTTAACTTGATACTATTTGATATACATCCATACGCGTATAAGCAGAAGGGAGAGTCTCGTGTCTTTTAAAAACCTAGTACATGTTTCTAATTATATTAACATATGTTTTGAGCAAACAAATAGAGGTTTACCAACGCCGATCAAAAAGCAGACAATTCATAATCAAGGTGAAAGAAGTCTAGTTTTTCTGTCTTGCGTGTAGATTTTGACTTTCTGTTTATCTGTGTGAAACTTCAAGAATTTGTGAAAGGTGTTCTGTTACTTTTTTAAAATATATTTTACTGAAACCTGTGCCCTTTTGAATGCATACTTTAAAGAATTTTCTGTCTTGAAAATTAAAACAAACAAAGGGAATACAACTGTTACATAGATGGCTAGTTTTATTTTTTATCAAGACAAAACAGGGAAAATATCAGACTTATGTGTATTTTACATGCCAATGAAATGACCCGAAATCAAGAAATCACATGCAAAGGCAAACAACTCATTGTTGTTGTCTTATTCATGCAATGTTTTGATACATTCTGTTATTATAACGTTTTTGTTCATTTATATTTTTGTAACTTAATCTTACGCCATTTTTCAGTTCCGACAGTATAAACACTGAAGTCGTTTACAAAAAACAAAGATACGGCATACCAGTTTAGGTCAAAATGTAATGCAATGTAGACAACAAATTTCACAAAATATTAAAAACAAATATTTTACAATTTTCAATTTCAACTTTTCGAAATAATTTCCTTACACATTTAAAAGTTTCAGACGTACAATCCCATTTGAAATGTATCAACACAGTCCTCTCAATAATTGGAAAATGGCCGACTGAAGTCCATTTTTACACTTGGAGCGATGTTATTCTAAGGGGGCAGGGGACCTAAAAATGAACAATTGTGTATTTCAGTGTGACCAGAAACACAATTTAAAATATTTCCAAATCTGTTTCACAGGCAGATAACCAGCTGCACAGCATTATTCAATGATATATGACATATATTGAAGAAAATAAAAGTTTGCATGCATTGCTCCTTAAAAGAATGACTGACAGCAATTTATATTTACTCCCACCCAGCCAAATTCACACCTAAAATATACCAATCTGGGCAATCTTCATGAAGGTGCAGCATACTCCAGTGTCCGATTCCCTTAAAAATATCACTTACACGCAGTGCAAGCTATGGCATTTCCAAAAATGACCAATAAAGTGTCTGTCATACGTTTAAATTTTTCACAAAATTTATTCGAAATTTCTTACTTGTTTGGCGCCAACTGTCAAAGCTTGATTTTTAACTTTTTCACCTCTATTCGGAGAGCCAGAAATACATACAAAGCTACCAAAATGCTTAGTTTTGGGTAAAAACCCCAAAATACTTGTCATTTCCTACACACAAACAAGAAAGAATTACAATGCCAGAGAAATATCAGAAGTTTCCATTACCTTCAAAACACCATGTCTGTGTTATTAAAAAATGTGACCGGGGCCATCATTCGAATATGTCCCCTGTTCCGTAAACGGATTTTCAGTCTAGTAAAGAGGTAAACATTACAGGATGCAAAGCTTGAAGAGTACGTTGTATATTAAAGGATTGTCACTCGTTTTACAGTAACACCTTTGTGTACAGGAGTGTTACACGTCATGCAGAAAACACCGGGGTTTCAAACCAGCAAAACACAAAAAAGTGTTGTTTTTTAACACAACATCTGTTAAATATTTAGATGTGACATAAATTAACCTACTTTAAACAGGAGTTTAGCGGGTTTTGAGAATAATTTACTTTGTTGGCATCTGTCAAACGCTATACAATGCAAGGTCGACGAACATCTTTGGTGGCCCAAAACAGTACACTTGCATACTGAAATCAACTTTCATTACCAGACAGAAGATTATAAAAAATGGCGACTTTCCTATTTTCGAAATATGTTGATAACTTTTCAAGAGCATTCAAATCGCTCCTTCATTTGGTCATGAGTTTGCAAAAAGAGGTTTCCATCCGGTAGCTATTTGTACAGTTTTCATGTAATTCCTTAGAATCATATATCGTTTATATCCCTATGATAATGACCATCTCGGTAAATAAAAGTCAGGCATTTTTGTCAATAATAAGCTATACTTTACGAATTATATACATTGACAGTAATGTGGGAGTGTTATTTACTAAAGTTGCAGGCATCTTAATCGACTCGAGCCCATTTTTCAACCTATGAATCTTCCTCGAACTGATACTCCATTGTTGCTGTCATAGGGTACAAAGTACTAGATTATATTTGTTTTACATTAAGTACATTACCTAGGTAGTAAATCTTCAATATGATCATCGTTTTTATACCATGCTGCTTTAATTAACGTAACGTTTAATTTGAACACCTAAATGAAGTAGTCAGTCTGTTAAGTAGTCGTAGCTGTAGTTAGGAAGATAGTGAATTGTCTTAACAGCAGCTGTCACGTGCCGTGTGGCGGCTGTAAAAGTTGCTCCGTATTTCACTTCAGTGTTGTTATATTGTCTCGTCTTTCGTTATCATTGATGCCAGCACTATTAAGTGTTGAGAATTGTTTACTACTCAAGCTGGTGCTACGGAGCATGAGGGATGTTGCACTTATTCATTATCCCTCATGTACAGACTCAATCAAACCGAGTCTGCAATTCTCTTGTAATTTTGTTGTTATTAATGTTTCCGAGGGATCACTTTGTTTCCATTACTTCGATTAACCTCTTCTCTGTTATTAATTTATTGATAACCGATTACAACACCATGCAATTCTCCGCAATATTTAAAGACTGTAAACGTAAAAATAGCCTTATTGTGCTGAATATTGTATATGTTTTTCTTTAAATGTGAACAGGTAATTGTGATCAATCTGAAACATGATAATTGTATTTCTTGTCATTTTTGTATTTTGTATGTTGCTAATTCTGTAATGTTGATATGTATTACTTATATATTAGTGTGACTATCATGAATCATTTATTACAGGACGTATCTGTCGTGATTATACTTTTCTACTTACACGAGAGCTTGAAGATCCTTTCTACCAAAGGCATGGCGTGAGAAATTGCCATAAATAAAGCAAATATTATTATAAGCATTTCTAGCAAATAATTCACATTTTCCTGGAGCTTAAACATGTTATACATTTGTCCGTATTTCAGGACTTGTAACTAAGCGTATTCTAGCAATTTTGACGTAAAGTTGCTCGTGTAAGGTATGTTTAATTTGTTCAAAATTTCTTATCGGTTGTCTACACATATGATTTAAGAATCATTTAAAAACAGATGATTTGAATTGTGGGAAAGTTTTCACATGAAAATATACTACATATTTCATTACATACATTGATCCACCCTCGTAAGTTTATTAATTTGAACTGAAATGCAGTGTACAAACAGATCGTGTGTTTTACAATATAACTGATGCTCAATACCGTGATTTAACATTACATGTTTAAAATACAAGAACACAATCTCTTACAAAGCTCCTATGCACTTTGGCACCGATACTATATATCTATATTTAAAATGTTAAATGACAACAAGCTGAAAATGGTTTGCGGCTCTTTGACCTAATATCTCTAAATATCCAACAAATATGGCGTAAAAATCTAAACTGTCACAAGCTTTTGACAGATAATATATTGCTTGAAAATAAATGTTTATTATAATAATGTTTAATATCTTACTTGAAATCTTATTCATTCGACAGCTTTGGCATAATTAATTGAATTATGTATTCACCCGATTATTGTGTAAAACAATGACTTTAGTTATACTCCAGTTCCCCCAAATTCGTATCTTCATATAAGCTTAGCTATCTAACCGATATGTTATCAAAATGAACCACTTATGAATTATATATCTGAACGCATGTATATTGCTTTGTTTAAATAAGCTGTAATCTAAGATGTAAATGTTTAAAGGGTTATCGACATAATCATAAAACCGCAATCGTATCCAATTAAACACCAGCGTTCCCCGGTTGTATAGTTTTTGTTGTTGTTGTTTTTAATGTTTTTACACTGTATAAGGAAAGAGACCTTGCTGAATACTCGTTTGCCAAATACATTATTATTATGTAAGTTATTATTATTATGTAAAAAGAGATGCGAATCTATATGTTTGAGGCCTGGTTTTAATTTCGTACTTAAATGTTCACTCATAATATTGTACCCGGCGATTGTTTTTAGTTTTTTTTTACAATTCAAAACGTTAATAATCATATATTTGACATTCAAATGCCCGATTTTTGTTATTTTTTCAAGATACTGGGTTACCATTATTTTTCATCCAGCCAATCGATTATGATGTACGCATAATTATGATCAATACTGTTGACATATTTGAGAATATAATCATTTAATATCTTTTTAACGGTCATAGGGTACTAAATCCGTTTTTTAGGTCTCATACTTGTGTCAAAATTTTAATTTTGAATGTGTCGCTAACAATGAAACATTTTAATGGCAATTCACTTGAGGTCATATAAAAATTTTTGACAAAAGTATGTCTAGAAAGTGCTCAAGGGCAAACAAAAACATGTTTTTTGAGCAGGTGCGTATGATGAGACTTATATTGCATTTTTAAATTAAAAATAAAAATATATATTCAAGATAGTGAAGAGATACAAAGCAAGAGTAACTATTTGGGTCAGTATTTATCATTACCATAGCATCCATCTCAAGACGTAAGATATTGCTTTTACGTGCATGACGGTTTACACCATTAAATCATATTTTAATTTGGTTTAAAGTCCTTTTTAGTACAATTTGGACTGAACGATTGAACATTGTTGAACAACTGTCGGCCGCTCTATCAAAGTGTAAAAATGAGCTTGCGTAAATTGACCAAATGATCCTTTGTAGGCCTTTAACATGAATGTAATATTGTAAATTCAAATCACATAAGAGGAACACAGCCAAATATCGTGAACTATCAACAAACGTATGCGTCACTTCCGGTTTGAGATTGCACCTGCACAACGGTTAGCAACTCTTACATATGTGTGATACTGGACTTTTTAAGGGTAATACTGTAATGATCTAGAAATTTTACCGGTTCACTTTACTCGTTCATTTTCACTTTCAGTCATTAATTGATTCTACTTTCGTTTTAAAGCTTTTACTGGCAAAAGCACGTTAGTTGACTGGTGTCTTGGTAAATTTTCACAAGACATCAGATCAATGTCAAGTATCATGCCAGACTTTATTCTAGTCTGTAAGTTTAATTTGAAATCCCTGTATGTTTTCTATGACAGAATCGTGTTGAGTCAATTGTTTTCACGACTTGTTTATCTTTCCTTGTAATTTGAATAATCCATCTTATAAGTCACTATTTACGTTGCATATCAAATAAATCCATGTTTATGAATGTTTCTGCAATATATTCTTTCAAGAAACTTGTTAAATCCTTCGCATTTTTAATATTCAATATTTGACCTCATTTTGCAGAATGCAGATCTGCCATCTTGATTTTGACTGTGAGCAGTTGCTACCAGCAACAGTCTGAGGCGGACTATTTGAAATCTTATTTTTTATTGTTTAAACTAGCGTATTTTTACAAATAATGAGGTTTAACTCAAGAAAGAGAACCTTTGAGGTAAATGAGTGTTTTATATATTAATTATGTCTTTTTCATATATATTTAAGTAAGATATTCAATTGATGTTTTTATTATATAGGGCACCTTGCACTTTGCACACAGTACACTGTTGTGAGTTGTGAGCCGCACATCTCACACTGGTGAGCCGTGAGTCTCACAGTACAGACATGTAAACTGTGAGCCCCACATCACATATAATGAGCTGTGAGCTCTGCTAGTATATAAACCCTGCTCTCACAAGTAATCTTGGCTTCACACATTTTTTTCTTGCTCCGAACTTACGGACGTTTTCGGCTATATTTTAAATTTAATGTGCGCTCTAGATTTTTGAAGATAAATATTTTTCAAAAATGATAACTTAACAACAGTCATTCTTAATTGGTCAAAAGGGTTACATTTACTCATTATATAGTCTTTTTTCATTCTTGTTTATAATATAACAAAGAATTAGTGTTTGATATAGATATTTTTACACTTTGTTAAACTGGTATCGCAACTAGGCGAATCTATCAGTCTTAAATTAAAGACTCGTGTATTTTCTGGATACCGTATCATCTCGTGCATTTTCGAAGAAATAATAGGGAGTATAAGAATTGATTTACTTACATTGCTAGCTAATGCAAACGTTTATGTATACATATTTTGATCTCAATTATTAAATAAAACGTCAATGAAGTCTAGTTATTCTATGTTGAAAAAATAATAAATTTTTATATACTTGATAAATAAATTCAAGTGAAACGCCAAAATTAAAACAGACTTTTTTGTTCTTTTTATTATTATTGAAACATTTGGTGAAGCCCAGAACCCTAGCAAAGTTCAGATCCAGTGATCGGACCTTATCTCAACAATTTAAGTAATCCGTACTAAAAATGAATGATCCGGCAGCCGTAGATAGGATAGTGAAATGTTGATAAGCTTCTCGAGTATTCCTGTAGAGGTGAATGCACATGTTATACCATCATCCAGAACAATGATTGGTGATGATATCTCTAAAAATTGTGCAGTTATGAGTTCGAGCACAAACAATGATGATCCCCTATCACAGCAGAACACCAATGATAATTCGTCCAACCAAATAACACATTGAAGACAGATATATCTGTCGTTTTGAAAGATGTAATGAAAGAGTTAAAGGAACTTAAACAGGTCTCAATCAAACAAACCCTAACGCTAACAGTTATGTTCCAAATGATAGTACCACTGCTCAACCTAACACTTGTCATGTACAGTCTAATGTAAAGGTAGAACACCACAGTTCCAGTTGCCAAACTTACAAAATCTACAAAAAATCTAATGAATTTCGGTATGACTCAATTCAGCCTGTAAGTCAAAATGCTCGAGTCCCAAGTTATTGTCACACACAGCATTATAATGCAAGTAGCCCGTTTTGTAATCCTGCTCGCAAAGTAAATCATATCGAAATGCCGTCTTTCTCTGGAAAGGAATATTGGCCGAGTTGGATTTCAAGGTTTGAACCAATAGCAGAAAGATATGCATGGGGTATCAGTGATAAATTAGACCAATTATTGACTAGACTAGAAGGTGTAGCATGTGAATTTGTATTCACTCAAATTCCATGACATGTCTTAAGAGTCTCTTCAGAAATTGTTTTAAAATTTAACTGTAGATACAGATAAATAGAAACAGCTCGCTCTTTTGCTGCAAAGTTCAGCAAAAGGTCTTAGAAAACATGCATAAACTGTCGAAGATTTTGCCGCAGATCTGAAACGATTATACAATAAGGCAAATGGGTATAGAAACAGCCAAACCCATGATAAAGACCTTGTGCAAAGGTTTCTCGATGGCCACTTTGATGAAAATGTTCGAATCGAAGTTGAATACCACAAAAAGCCATGAAATATAGATGAGACTGTTTTCCATGTTGTTAAATCTTATCCAAACAAGAAACTCTGCAAAGTCTGATAGGAAGAAATTCACAAGAAGAGCTCAGAAAGCCGATGAAGGATACAATGAAACTTATATAAATAGAACACCATCAGGTTATACTTCCAAAAATGAAGGGTCTATTGTCGTACATGACCTAACTGAATTAATGCAGGATCTTTTACAACGTATGGTACTGTGTGAAAAGGCTAACTCTACACAAAATGTAAGAGATCAAAGTCATAAAGGAGGTAAACGTACATTTGAATGTTTAAATTGTTATGAACAGGGACACTTTTCCCGGGATTGTCCTAGAAAGAATGAAAATCCAGCCATTAGTGGCAATGTACCCCACGGAAATTTAAACTTCAATGGACCAGCCCAAAGGAAGGTCCAAAAAGATAGTAAAAAGGCCAATTACATAGGTTCGAACCTGGATAATGGACTTGAAAATGGAGAAGATATGTTGCATGTATCACATAGAGACTTAGCAAAAGGTGTGTATATAGATTGCCTAATTGGCAAAGAACCTTTTGTTTAATGCGGACACAGGGATGTCAAAACTATTCTGTCGCCAAGGGTGTATGACAAATTGAGTGATGAAGAGCATCCGAAGGATCAACTAGAAAAGTGACAGTAGCAGATAACATCTCCATAACAGGGAAGTCTGAAACCTTAGTAGATGTCTTCATTTAGAGAGTCGAGGAAGACGACTTTGATAATCGGGCGGATTATATTCTAGAGCCATCTGAAGGTTTCAAAGACAGATATCAATTGGTAGGGCGTCCACTTTAGTTGATATTAATAGAGCAGCAACTTTCAAGGTCAGGGTCCTGGGGCCCGTCTTATCAACGGTCGTACGACCGTTTTTATCGTACGATTGTCGTACGTCGATCGTACGATTTTGGCGCGGTGTCTTATCAAACGTCGCAGATTTTCATAATCGTACGATTATCGTAAGATCATGCATTTTTTCTGCGATCGCTGAGAAGCAGTCGCAGATCAAACAAAATGGCCGCCTTACTACTTGTAAACGAACGCCGCCGACGAAAATCACGCTGTTTTCGGCAACGAACGGTTAATATTGATGACTTAACCGATCGAGAAGTCATTTCCCGATACAGACTCAATAAAGCAGCGATTAAAGAGTTGGAGGAGCTCTGTCGGGCTGATCTTTCCCCTAAAACGGGTAGATCGCAGTCTATTTGCAGCATGACGAAGGTAAATGTATCGAAGTTTCACTGTATTTATTACTCTCTGCATTGTGTTTACATTCGCAACTAAGCAGTTTGACCTTAACCTTGATTTATTTTTAGCCCAAGCATTATGGGTAAACATGGCGCTGTGTTATGTGTATACATACAAAAACATTAGACTTGGATCCACAATAACACGGCTTTAATTAGAGCTTTGATAACAATGCCGTTGTAAAAGAAAGGAAAAGTGATGTTATTAACAAATTCAATAATTCTTAATACGTCAGAGGAGAGGAATTTCGAGGAATTTGGCTGAATTTGTAGATATTATGATGCGTAAACAAGGAGTGCATAACTCCATAGCCATAGGCATAGGATGATCTGATGATAGGAGGATTATTTAAACCGGTTTCATTACCTGTAAAAATGGGCAAACGTGTTTTGTTATGAAATGTAAACACTGTTCATTTTACATTTAATGGCTGGCAATATCAACAGTTGCTGAAGTTACGAGAAATCAGTAATAAACGATAAAGGATTAATAATTATCAGCTGTTTATGACATAGCACTCGTCCATGTCGTCTATTATTAAAGCTTATCATAAGTATAGCACTAGCAGGTAAGAATAATTTCTTTACATGATAGCTAATAAGTTCTGAGTTTCACAGCCCATTGAATATAAATGTCATATTTTAGGTATGTATAATAAAAGCCAACACTTGTTAGTATTCTTTTTTTTCTTTACATGTGTGTGTTTTTATTTATCTCGTTGCCACGAGATACTATGTCGTGGCCACGAGTTACTAAGTCACAGTGACGCTAAGTGTTAAATTAGCACAAGTCAATAAGTTGTATAAATTGCACTTTTACAGGCCGGTGAAGTAGGGGTATCCTTGTACTACAGCACATGTCTAGTTAATTGGGGAAAGTAACATAAATGGTGTAATCTGATTGGTTATTTATCACGTGACCACAACTTAACTATCTCGTGGCCACGACATAGTATCTCGTGGCCACGACTTAGTAACTCGTGGCCACGACATAGTATCTCGTGGCCACAAGATAAATAAAAACACACACATGTCACATTTGTGCCACCGTAAAAATCATATAAGATCTAGATATATTTTTATCAAAGTAATTTTATTTCAAGCACATCAATAAAGCAATTCGACTTTCATTCTTTGCAGGTTCTTATTGGACTTTGATACCTCGCAAAAGGCGATTTCATATCAGAAGTTGGAGACCTCCACGGGGTGTCTAAAGCCAGAGCTGCCATTTACATTCACCAATTCATACAAAGTGTAAACCTTCGATTAAAGAATATTAGGTGAGTATGTGGAGCTGTACATATATACAAGTAATTTTACTTACTTATAATAAATTCTATAATAGGACAGGGTTATATTGAATCTAATTCAATTTAATTTCTGAGACACTTCGTCAATTAGCATCCATTGATATTTATGTGATTACATTCATACACAGTAGTCTATTGCTCAATACAAATCTGTGCAAAATTTTATCTATTTTTACTAGATATATTATTTGAAAAAAACTAAGGCAATCCTGTATATCACAGGTAAATATGCACCACATGTTTGCTGTATGTTTGGTACCCCATATGTAAAACATATGTGTTTCATGTGTTTTGAAAAACATGTGTTTAAAAACATGTGTTTTTCATATGAAAGATTAACATATGTAAACAGGACCATATGAAAAGCATGTGTCAACAAGCATATGTTGAACTCATGGTTATCACGTGTTTTTATATGAATAAGTTTTCATAATTATGTAAAATATATGTGAACTTTCGTGTGTTTTTCATATGATAAATCTATGTATTATATATTCTGCAAACTTTACACTTTTTACAGTCGCTATTAGATTCTAAATGATTGTACAAAAATTCTGTTCATGCATCTATGTGCAACTTATGGTTCTGGGAAAATAATAATTTTTTGTGAAAAACATAAGTCTATATCATACATGTAACAAACAGTGACCTTTTCTTGGCCCACCATATGAAAAACGTGTTATTCATGTGTATCCATGTTTGCATCATATGTAAAACATATGGAGCACTTTTCTGGAAGAAACCATATGTTTTTACCATATGTAAAACATGTGTGTCACATACATTTAACATGTGGTGCATAATTTACCGGTGTACTTACATGGGTTTTGTCTGATATAATCAGGGCCCTTTCTGAACTTTGAAAAAAAAAATGCATTATGCCAGCTCTTTTTGTTTTAAGAATAGTTGGCATTCACTGTCTTATGGCTCTAACTTGTTCATAATGTTTTATATATTAGATAATAATGGTAGCAATATGATATTTTATGGGGTTTCATATAGCAAAGGAAAACCCTATTCCTACCACTTCTTTAATCAGTACATATACTCTTTTCATTTAACGTCTATAATTAAATACCACTTATACTTTTATTTCAGATTTCCAACTGAGAGGTCAAGATTACATCATTTGAAGAGGAAATTCTATGAGAAATGTAGAATCCCAAACGTAATCGGTAATTGATCATTAATTACTGAACATTAGTTTCATATATACATATATATTAAAAGCAATGTTTTAAAATATAATAATTATGCTTTTGGAAATGCTTGTTACATTGTTTTATGTTTAAAATCATTTGATATCATTTCTACAGGCACAAGTGGCACTTCTTTGTATACAATCCTTACTAAGAAATATCAATTCAGCTTCTTTTTTTGTAGGAGCAGTAGATGGAACCAGTCATCCCTATTCAGGGTCCATCACAGGATGAGGCAGCTTATGTCTGCAGAAAAGGGTTCTATGCTCTTAATGTTCAGGCAGTAGTCAATGCTGAAATGAGGTACACTATTTTATGTCAAACATTCAAGTCCTGTGTTAAATTACAAAAAAATTATAAAATAGAATCTAATTTAGTTTCTTAATCCAAGAAGTGTCCCAGGAGGAACTTATTTTCATTTGACAACTGTTTAAATCAGTATAATGAAGATGAACTTAACATACACTTTTATAACATTAAAATGCTAAGGAGAAAAAAGGGAAGCATACTACTGGCAATTTATAAAAAAAAAAGTACAACTTCAGATAAATTTATTAATTCAATATATTTCCTGTAGATTAATGTATCAAATTGATGTAGCTGTTGTAGATTAACTTATCAAATAAATATACTTCTTGTAGATTCACAGATGTTGTTTCAAGGTGGCCTGGTTCACAGCATGATGCGGCCATTTTCAATGCTTGTGGGTTAAAGGTGAAATTTTTCACAATCAATTTCTCATGACATGAATTAAAGCTGCATTACCCGTAATGGACTATTAATTATATTAGTAAATGCTTGTGCTAACATCATACTAAATGATTAAGGACAAAAATATTTTTTCTTTCTGATTTTATCTACCGGTAGCTTTTGTGAATTTTCTAAAGAAAACTATATGTCATCTGAAAATAACTGCTTTATGATAACCTATCATTTTTCAGACACATTTAGAACAAAGTAATAATGGGTTGTTAATGGGGGATAGTGGGTACCCTCTTAGGAGGTACCTCTTGACCCCAAAGGTGAATCCGACAACACCACAAGAGGAAGCCTTCAATAAACACCATAGCAGAGGCAGAATGGTGGTAGAAAAAGCCTTTGGTATACTGAAGTCACGTTTCAGGTAAAATATTGCAAATCATTCAAAGTAATTATTGTATTAGTTTAGTTTATACAAATTTATTTTAGTTCGATTGTGTTGGAAGCTATAAGCTTATAGAAACACTCTCGAATCCGTACCTGGAACCAACCAGTACTAAGCAATGAATGTAAAGTTTCTTGCTCAAGGAAACAACGGCTTGGCCCTGACAGGATTTGAACCCACGCTGCGTTCTGGTCTGGATCCCTGCTGGTCGCAAACCCATTATGTTGGTTATGTCATGACGCGGCTCATATATTTATGCCTTTATTGCAGATGGCTACACAAAAGTGGTGGTGTTCTACCGTTTTCACCAGAAAAGAGCAGCCAAATTGTGGTAGCATGTATGAGGCTACATAACTTTTGTAAAACTAGAGGAGTACAAGAGCCTGTGGAGATCATCACACAGGATGATGATGATGATGATAATAATTTACCAAATGGAGATGACAGAAGTAATAATAACATTAGACAGGAATTAATTAATTTATTCTGAAAAAATGTTTTTAAGACATAGAAATTAAAATATAATTACTTGTTCTGGTCACTTGAAATATAACATTTCACTCAATTAAAACAATTAAATCTATGTTTTGATCTCAATTTAGCACCCATGTATTACTTAAAAGAATTACTTTGTATTTCACATAAACCAAAATTAGCACAGTACAGTAGTTAACTTATTGTCAGAGTCAACGATACCTTTGATAAGAAAAAATTATATTTGTAATGAATAATAAACATTAAAGGGGTTAAGTAGTAATATTAAATAATATAAGTAAACTATACATGTGGAAGCTATTCAGTTAATCTGTTGAATATTAATTTGTGATTTCATGAAAAATACATTAATTCATTGTGAAAAATAACTACTAAAAATATAGCTTTCAGAAATATCCCCTTGTCTTACAACTATACCTGTTAAATATTAATAATTCAAATACTGCACATTTTTTAACATCATTTTTCATTGGAATACAATGATGTTTAAATTTATGATTGAAGAATTTTTTTCCCTCTAAAAATGTTGTTTGCTGTATTATGACTTTGTTACAAAGATTTCTGATAAGTTATATGGCCATTTAAAAGAATTTGTTTGCAAATTATAACCCTCACCTTGTGACTAGGTTATATAAGCAAACAACCATTTAAATGGGGTAATATAACCTGTCAAAATTCTTTTTTAACTAACAGTATAACAAGTTTCATGTTGATGTCTTTTATAGCTTTTAAATCATTCTATATTACAGGCAATTATGTTAAAAATTCTAAATTGCCTAAAATTCTAAGTTTAAAAAGGACTTAACTCTTGCAACTATCATAATTGCTCAACTGTTACTTCAAAACAAACATGGTTAAAACAATTCAAAATACAGATAGGACAGAAGTGTTTCCTGATAAAAATAGACACCAACACTATGTTAGGGAGGGTGGGTGCTTAAATGAAAATTTTACAATGACTATAAATTAATGATTAAGAAATAATATATCCTAAATTTTGATTTTAGTGCTAAATAAAATCACTGTTCGGAGTCCAGATGTAAGAAATTACATCACGGGGGCAAAGCCCCGTTGATATAATGCTGCACATCTGAAGGACAAACATTGATTTTAATTTATCAATGGTTAAATTTACTGATTGAGATATATTATTTCAATCCTAACACATGTCAACTAATAAATGCTGCAGTACCCGATATTAAGCTAACTTGTGCCTGTAAAGTTTCCATATTAATATTCAGCTCGTAAAATTTTTAATGGTTTCATCAAATGTCCAAATTAAGAATGTCAACATTGATTTTATGACCATTATAACACACAATTTCGGTTCTTCTGAGTTCATAAGGGAAACATACATGTCGTGTTAGAATTTTAAATAAGTTTGTCTAATCTTTTTTTTATGCCATCTAAAGACTGATTTAATGTTTTTAATGTTGAATTCAATTCTGTCATAATTGCAGTCTGTTGTTCAACAAGTTGATATATGTCATCCTCTGTTTTCTCTGAAAAATGAAATCAAAATAACTCAGTCTAAAAGATTGATGTATGTACAATTTTCATGTACATACTTAGTGGAACAAGTTTAGATATGGTCAATTTGCAAAAAGTGCATTTAAGTTACAAGAAATTACTTCCAAAACACACTGCATTATATAAATAGTTTATATTCTGATTCAATGTGCAAGTACTGTATTTCAATGTACTAATAATGCCTCAAATCAAGTTATGGGGGTTTTTGTGTATGAGTAGTTAAGGTTGTTTTCTTCACATCACCTGCCCCACACGGCTGTGTGTTTAAAACCCAACAGAGACTTTGGTTTTTTTTTCCTTTTGTGGAAGCTACACGTATCTATATCTTATGGGTGATCTGTGGTTCTACTCAAGTGCATGCTTTTCAAGGCCTCAGTTCGCAATCACTAGTATGTTGAATCATGCAAGTTAATAAATGAATAATAATAGAATTGGAGTAATACTATAACATAATAATACTTACTGTCATATTTTGCCTTCTTTGGCACTGGCTCATTATCACCTACAATTTAATGTGCATGAGTATTATTGAATTATTTCAAGCTTGAATAAGAAATAAAACGACAGTTGTTTATGTTAATGAAGGTATTTTTTCATAAATATATATGTATACAAGTTTCCAGAAGATTTTAGAAAGTTTTTCTTTTTGAGTTTTTGGCACACTTAACCTCAGTTAAATAGAATGCAACAATCCTATCATTTTTTATAAAAAGTGACATGGTGTGACTATAAATAATTTCAACAATACATGTCAACATATATTATTGATAAGACATTATGTACTTTGTTAAATTGCTGAATAAACATTATGTAAAGTTAAGTTATGTTATTCTTACCTTCAAATCCTTTATCATGCAAAATTTCCTTTCTTCCCAAAGCTAAAAAAAGAAGCCTGTATTAGTTATTACATAACTTAAAGTACAAGTCACATGTCCATAAACTGCACAATGTGACATGCTAACTAATAAATGTGAATCTTAAGTATGTAACCTTCTGGTATAAGTATGTAGCCTTCTGATACGTAAAATTATGTAGTCTATGGATTGCTGCATAATTCACAATATTTGTGTGTCTTTTCTAATTGTATATTTCTGCTCATGACTGTATACCTTACATGTATATAAATATGTATACATCTACCTAGATACCTATTATAGGAAATGACAGCTTAGTTTATGTAACATTATAATGTTAAATCACAGAAAAACAGATACACTAATCTACTATCATCCATAATAAATTCCAATATACATAATAGCATTCATGACTGAAAACATTGACTGCTTGACCAATGAAAGAGGAAATATTAAACTAATTTTGAGTAATTAGCTTTTGTCAATTAAGGATATTTGGAAACTTGATAATTACTGTAACATTGAAAATAATGAAATTTCCTAACAAATTATAATAAATGTATTATCAACATGCTCACAACAATAAAATTTATATACATGTACTTACAGTTTGTCTCACTTCCAACAGGAAGGTCTGGGATTGTAAGGCCAGGATCATTATTTTCTGAAAATGGAATACATTATACAGTTTTATTTCATGCTTTCCAGTGTTTTATTGTAATATATAGATGATTATATTCTGATAAACCACTAGTGAAATTTATAAAATATAATTTTCACTGTAGCCGGACTATATCTGAATGCGGATGAAAAGAGAATCGTAACTAAATGGAATGACAGGCAGAGATAAATGCTGTCATGCGTAAATTTTGCTTCTTAAGGAAAAGAAAGTCGATGTCACCATACATCATGTTAAAAATGTAACAAAATTAGAGAAATTTAACAGAACTATATTTCAAAATTGATGATGTGACGTCATGATGTGATGACGTCACAAAGGAAATGCGCGACGTTACACAGCAAAATCAGTAAAGAATACTTAAAATCACTTAAATAGCATGAAATAAAAAGAAAATTTATTTGTTTTACATATAAGATTGAAATATATTTCATTCGTGAACACCAGCTATTATATTTTCACTCATGGCTACGCCACTCGTGAAAATATTGCATCTGGTGTTCACTCAGTGAAATTATATTTCAATCTTACATGCAAAACAAACAAATATCCTCTATATATCAGTAACAGAAGTGAAAGTGTGAAGAATTCAATCTATGTTTATCATAATTAATTTTATTTATTCTATGTTTAACTTGGGAACAAATGTCTTAATTTTCTTAAAATAGTCTATTCATTTAATACTGTTAAGATGTTTGGATTAAGTTATTGTGCTTCACTTATAATTTATTTTAAGTAAATTTGGTCATTCATCATGAAATTCATTCACACTTAATGACATGATCACAGTATCATTCTACATGTAGTTATAAGTGCAATACAAAACTTTACCAAGAAAGGTGTCTGCACCATTTTCTATCCCTTCTACACTGCATTAGGGTATTGTCTGTAGAATCTGTGTAGAAATAGCCATGTATATAGAAAATTAGTGAAAAGTCAGGAGATTTGAAATGATAAACTGGTGTGTAACCCTTTACATATAATCTTAAAAAAGTAAGTTTATAGCTTCACTTGTTTCAGAAACAAAAAAGATATGCAGGATACTTTTTAAGTGGACATTACATTTTTCAAAAAGCAATGATGATGATATTTGTTTGTATGTAACATTTATTAAAGAAAAAATATAGGGAAAGGACAATACAGATCACATATAAATTATAGGGAAAAATATTTCCATACTAGCCATTCTACAACAATTTTCTATCATACATCTTCAACTTAGTCTATTAATAAACTTTACATATGAGATATTTGTATATAAGACAATGTTGATCTTAAGAAACTGTCAATGTCAATGTCAGAACAGTGTTGCAGAAAAAATGCAATTATTAGGAGGAAATTTGCAATGGGAAGTAATTTAAAAGCTGGAAAAACAGTTTATGTATCTTCAGACAATGTCTATTTTTTTCTATGATGGTTAGACCATACTAACTATTAAATCTATTGATACCTTGCTCTCCCATGCCTTCAGGTCTAAGATAGGGGCTGGGCCACCACCTGTTTTTCTGGTTTCCGCAATATACTGTATAGTTTTCTTCTTGGTTTGTGACTGAAAAGATAATCAATCATATGTATTAGCCTTAAATAAAATTCCATTTGTGTCTGTAATGAATGCAGAAACTAAAAGTATCTAGAAACTGTCAACACCTAATCTCACCTTCTTGTTCTTGTGATGTAATATAAATACATCACTTCATGAAAATATGTAGAAGGGCAGAGTATTTACAGGTAGACGGGTGAAAAATAACTCCTGCTTTTACAGCAAAAAGGTACATGTTACCCTTTAATATGAAATGACTTGTTACTTATAAATGTGCTGTATGTTAAAAAAATTGATTACAGCATGAACATTAACAATTTTGAAACATCTAAATCTTTTACAAATTAGGGTCAAAATGTCATGCAATGAATGAAATGTGGGTGTTGAAAAAATTCAGCAGGAGAGAAAGGTTGACATTCAAAATACTTTAGTTTGGTAAAAGATCTATTTTTGGTTAAATATTCAGCTAAACAAAGCTTTCAAATTACAAATTATCAGATTTTAACTCTTTATTTAGAATTATTTTCACATGTTATTTAAAAAAACATGATAGTTAAATAAATTTAAAAGAAATTTTAGCATTAAAATACAAACCTTCAAGTCAATCCATTTCTTTTTGACTTGTTCAAGCGTCCTTGAACACCCGCTTACACTGTTCACACTGAAATAAATCAAACTTAAAGATATATAATATATGCTTAAATTTGACATTAGAAAATATTGATAACTGCTACATATATGTAATATATACATATATATATAAATATATAACAAACACATTCTGACTTCACACAAAGTAGATAAGTTATATTTAAAATTCTACATGTTATAGGTGGTCACAATGTAAATATTAAGAACCATTAAAAAACTGGCAGTTTTTTTAAAAAAGACCAACTTCACTTGTCCTGTTTAGGGGAACACAGCTTCCCATACATACTTCATTCATTATTTTATTCATTCAGTAAATATTTCATTGATTTCAATAATTTTCTGTGATTAAAATATTATACTTAAGGATAAGCATATACATAGTATATATTTAAGGATAAGGGAAACATGAAAAGTTATAAGTGACAAGTGTACACTATTTATTTGCAAATACAAAAAAAGTTAAGAACGATTAGAAAGACGATTGATAACGTAAAGGCACATTATGCATATTTGTTAATTCTTTAGAAATGTCAAACATGTGTTAAATAATGTTTTGATATTGATTTAGGAACCTGTAAAATGATTAACAACTGAAGAAATTTAACAGCACTAAATGTGCAGTGATGTGTTGTTAAGGTAGCAAAATGTAAACAAAGTACACATGAAGTATTTTGACTTCCATCACAGGACCTTGAACTTATGTCAATAAAAAATGTTGTTTTTTTCTCGAGACATTAATGCTGTTATTGAATAACATAATTTCAAGGTCCTGTACAATTTACCAATTCACTATAATTATACCAATTACCATCATAAGTATTTGTTTAAACTGTAACAAGCATTTCTGATGCTTAATTAGGCTTTAAGTAAGAGAAGTATATTGAAACAATAACAGCTCCCTTTTATTGATTATACTTAAACAATAAAAACAACCTTGTTTCCTCAAAACAGAAGTAGAGTTGACATGTACTGTACATGTTCTAGTCCTATGAGAAATATACAGTTGCTGTGTAATATGCTGGGCTAGCAAATCATACATGTGATTTAACAGATTCAAAATTGTTGGATGCAGAAAACAGAGCCCCAGAAGTATTAAATATACAAATGTGACAATGAGTGGCATGATTCATTACCCTAACTAACAACTTCACAGTGGCCAGTGTTAATTTTATACTATAATAATCCAAACCAGTCTATTTTATAGAATTGGTCAACTTATAGAAAGTGGCAATTGGTCGAATTTATTTTATGTCAAAAATTTGTAAAATTTGCTGAAAAATGAATGAAAGAAATAACATAAAATATGGGTCAAAGTAGTTAAATACATGTATATATCAGATATGTCATTCTTTGTATATTGTGAAATAGAACTAATCCGAGAGTAGATCGAGTGACATTGAATCAGTACCGCTACAGACCACGGCTTTCATTTAAGCCTTTTAGATGTTTTAAAGCGATATATAAAGTTTTGCAAGTACAATTTATGTAAATATACATGTAAATATCGCAAATGATCGTAAATGATCTATTAATAAAAATTGCTGGTTACCTTTCCACTACATCCGCCCAAAACCGGGCTTTGTCCGCGGCCGTAAGTGTCTGTGAAAACTTGCCGGTGGCCACATCAGCAGTTTCACATTTGCTAATGAGCATATCACGCTCATCAGTTGTCCAATTAACTTTTCTTGCCTTGTCAGACATCGCTGAATTGTAGCACACGTCGTATTTCAAGTTTGACATTAAAATGCGCGTTACCTCCTTTTTTGAAGAGTACGTGTTAGTGCGCAGGCGTAAGAATCGTACGCTTATGAAAATTGTAAGATTTTAGGTTGAACGTACGACCGCGTTGATAAGACAGTCTTACGATCGAGCGTACGACAATCGTAGATCAAAATCGTACGCTAAGATTTCCAAAATCGTACGATCGTTGATAAGACGGGCCCCAGAATCCGTTCTCTACAGAAATCTAGCTTTGACGAGATGCAGAGATTGGCAAGGCAGAAAAAATAGTAACTGTCATAACTGATAACGAACATGAGCAGGAATCACAATATATGAATATGTTCGAAGAGAGCATATTGCGGAACAGGGAAATAAAAGGAAAACACTTATTGAACAAAAAAAAAAGAACATGTTTCGAAGCATTTAAGAGAATTGTTTGAGCGGTCTACTATTGAACGGTCAAGGGGAGAGTAGAAGATTGGGACCTTGGCGTTACAAACTTGGCGAACATGAAATTAGGACAGGGAATGCAGAGCCTACCAAGCAGCGTCCAGAAGGTTTCCGTTAGCCTATGTCACGGTGGAAAAAAGAGAGCGATAGACGACTTACTGAAAAAAGTGGTGATACAAAAGTGCACATCGCCTTGGGCAAGCCAAATACTACTCGGGAATAAAAAGGCAGGCGCCATCAGACCATGTGTTGACTACCGAAAAGTTAAGAAAAGTTAATGCATTGGTCAAACCAGATGGTTTCCCCTTTCCTCGTATCCAGGACTGTTTAGATGCAGTAGCTGGTGCAAGTCTCTTCAGTAGCTTTGATTTAACGAGCGGTTATTTCTAGATTCCCTTGAAGAAAGAAGACACACCAAAAAGCGCGTTTGCATGGAAATGTGGCCAATTTGAAATTACCAGAATGCCTTTCGGTATAAACAATAGTAGTAGCACATTCCAACGTACCATAGAGCTAGCACTACAAGGCCTTCAATGGGAGACCTGTCTGGTCTATATAGACGATATCTTTGTGTTTGGTTTTACTTTTGATCAACACATTGTAAGAGTCGAAACTGTCCTTGATAGAATAAAGCAAGCAGGTCTTAAGTTACGCCCTGATAAATGCCATCTGTTTCAGACTGAGGTTACCTTTGTCGGTCATATTGTATCAAAGATGGCGTACGCCCAGACGCTAACAATATATCCAAAATAGGGAACTGACCCAAACGCATTCTAAACAGGTCAAGCTATTTGTTGCCACAGGTTCGTACAATCGCAGATTCAAAAAGTCTACGCTCAGCTGGCACGTTCCTTAACGAATCTTACTAAGAAAGGGGTGGAATTCTGCTGGGACAAAGATTGCAAAACGCCTTTAAACTAATTAAAGAAGCGATAACTAGCCCAGACATTATGACTTTTCCTTTGAATGAAGGCGATAACTATGCTTCGGGTCTCGGCGGAATACTATTGTTTGTTTGTTTGTTTCATTTTACGCCTTTTCCCAACAGTATTTCAGTCATATAGGCGGGTAGTTTCCTAACCATCGTTCCTGGAAAGTTACACCAGTACTAGACTACCTTCCTCCGCGCTAAACTACCAAAGCATCTCCCGGGGTCGAATCCACGCCAGAGAGGTAACTGGATTAGAAGGAAGTTATCGACTCTAACCCCTCGACCACGGTGGCGATACAAGCTCAAATACAAAATTCGCATGAAAGAGAAGTAGCGTATGCAAGCAGAGGCTTTAATAAAGCAGAGAAAAATTATTGCATATCTGAACAAGAATTGTTAGCAGTTGTGTATTTTATACAATACTGTCGTCAATATCTGCTTAATCGCAAGTTTCTGGTGCGAACTGACCATCAAGCGTTCGTTTGGTTGTTTTCACTAAAAGAGCTAAGCGATAAAATCGCGCGATGGCTGGAGATCCTGGCTGACTTTGAGTTTTCCATTGAGTATCGGCCTGGAAAGAAGCAACCACATTGTGACGCTCATTCTCGATGTCCACAGCCGAGAGATTGTCGTTGTCAAGAAGTCGATATGTCAGAAATAGAGAGAAAAACAGATCTAGAATCCCCAAAGAAAGCCCAACACGGCAAAATAGCAAAATATTGCCTGTTCATGGACGATACTGGAAAGTGCAAGTTACCGATTACGCCCCCTAGCACCAGCTTAAGCAGAATTCAACATTTAAACAGAAAAAAATGGAGAAATTTTGAATTTTAAAACATCCGCAGATGCTTTCATACGGCGGTTATCATGGAACCTTCTATGTGACACAGAAGTGTCATTCCATGAAAAGCGGCGTATGGTCTCCAAGTAAAAGAATGCGTGTGCTCTAAACGAGAAAACAATGGGCTGAACTAAATAAAATGGAATTTTGAAAGGGGAACTGAGGTAATGAAGCCTGCATATCACAGGCAAGACGTCCAAAGACAAATTCAAAAATCAGGCAATATATCCTAAGGGCGATTATACAGTATTCAAGCAGGAAATATGATCAACAAGATCAACAAGGAAGGGCGGCGTTCAATGAACGCAACCCCCATATGACCCAGCAACAAGAACCAGTGGCAAGGAGCCACTGGAACCACCCAAGTTGAAAAAGGCCAAATACAAGAAACTTCAAATACCATCTAAAATGTGCTCACATCGCGCCTATAGTAAAGGCTAAATCTGGAAACAAAGTGATCCCTCGGAATCATTAATCACAACGAAATAACGTAAGAATTGAAGACTCGGTTTGATTGTGTCTGTACATGAGAGATAGTTAAAAAGTGCAACATCCCTCACGCCCCCAGCACCGGCTTAAAGCCAGCAAGTAATGAAATGCAAAGAGAAAGTCGAATATCGAGACATTACTGGTTTTTGTTTGACACCCTAGAAATACATAATGGCATACTTTATAGGAAATTTATATGGTTAAATGAATGAGATGCAAGGTTTCAAATGATTGTTCCTGAATTTTTAAAAAATGATATACTTTTATTCTACAGTCGTATAATATTCGATTGTCAGGACATTAAGATACCGAGAAGACTATAAAGACGGTGTTACAGCATTATTACTGGTTTGTATTAAAAAACAGTGTCCGTCTGTATGTACAGTCATGTCATACTTGTGCTGCAGACAATATACCCAAGTAAGCGACCAAGGAGATGCTTTTGAATGCAAACTCTTTCAAGAGCGCTGCAATATTTTATTTGAAGTTAGGAAAAATCATGTAAGCCCAAAGAACCCGAAGGGTAACGGACAAACTGAGCGATATATATCAGAACCTTGATGCGTATGATCCAAGCATACATCGTCGAACAAGATGAATGGGACCTCCAATTAGGTTGAATTGCTGCAGCATATCGGTCTACTCCTCATGAAGCAGAAAGGTTTACGCCGAATATAATGTGCCTCGGTAGAGAGATTCTAATGCCAGCAGATCAAGTGTTCGGCTATGTTCGTGAAGCACAAGTTGCCTCACCTTCAGAGCATGTAGAAGTGATAAGACAAAATATGATGAATGCGCATGATGTTGCTTAACTCTATCTTAAAACTTCCGAAAAAAAAAACAAGAAAAGAGCGATATGATTCAAACCTACAATTTGCAGTGTACAATATAGGTGATTTTTATGGCCTTTGCATTAAAGCAGAAAAGAAGGTGTTACTACGAAGCTGGAACATAAATGTGATGGACCATTGATGATTCAGAAAGAGATGTCAGCAGTTACCTATGTACGTATTGCAGCTAGATCGACAAGAACCAAAAAACGTTGCTCATCAGGATAAATTGAAGAAATATGTAGCTTGCGAGATACCAGACTGGTTGAAGAGAGCTCAAAAGTTGTTCCTAAAAGATGCAACTCCAGCAATAAATAATCTGTATTTATATGCATCTCAAAAAGCATTATAATTATATATTAATCGCATATTTTATGTATCTGATGTCTATTTTTATTATCAAAACTTTACTTAGTTTATGTGCTTTTCTCCTTCATCGGCGGGACCTTTTCGAACACAAAGAAACCGATGAACACGCAGTCACAGCGGTCGAACATTTTGTACAAGAACATCGTAGCTCTGTGCTGACGATATATTAAGTGAACCTGTTAATATAGAGGATATTTGTTAAATTCAGTGCGCCACTCGTGAAATATACCTTTTGGTACTCATTCGGTGAAATATATTCCGATTTTACACTAAACTAAACAAATTTGCTTTTTTATTATATGCAAAGAAACGTTTTAATAAGACATTAAACCTAATACAGAAAGAAAAGCGCGCCAAATAATAATACAACGTGACGTCATTTACGAATCACGTAATTAAAATGGTACCCAGTTCTGTGCACGCTGGTATTTCACTATAACAACGTAAGGGGGCTTAACTTCAAAACAGTGAAATTATAAAAGTGGTAATATAAAGGTTCTAACAGTGAAATTACCCGTTTTATATCACGGATATATTTCTATAAACCACCGAAAAGCATGTAATAAACAAGTTTAACTGTAAAGTATAAAGGGTGTCCCATTATATATATTATCAGATGATGGAGGCTCAACAAAGGAGATGTCATTTTTACTCCTGTCTGCATTGTTTTGGCAATAGGGTTACGTAAGTGGCAGAGAGATATAGGCTTATGGACCACTTCCAGAAGCACCACTTTGCACTAGACCAAGCGGCGTTCTATTGCAATCTCTGCATATTCAGATGTCTCACCAGAAAGCAACTAGAGAAACACCTGACAGGCTACAAGCGTCATGTGATGATGGCCAATACACCTGTCATTGGTGACCAAAGGATAAACTTCGTGGCGAATCCAAGACACCGTTAGATCACAGAGGGTATCGACTACAGACTGGATAACCTGGAAGACAAAGTAGGTCAGCAATTCAAACATGTTGACCCATTTGAGGAGTCTCCGACCCAGTTGCTAAGTGTGGCCAAATCCCAGGATCTTGTTACTGTCAGAGTGACACCAGACGTCCTGGCCACACTGATCTCTATCTACTGTCACCAATGTGAGTGCCAGCAACTACATCAGAGCTCCCAAAGTATCATCCTGTGAGGCCTGGGCTCCATGACTTTGACGACCTGAGCTACCTACCCAGTCTGCCAACTTCTCAACAGCCTCACAATCAGCCATCCAGTAGTGTATATGTCCCTACGCCGCATAACAGTACTCTTTCTGTGGCGAAGCGGACGTCTCTTCGTACAACAGTGTTGCGCATGAGGATGATC